GCCTCGCCTTCCGGCAGCTGATATAAAATTGCTCCAATTCCAACGTTAGATGCATCTGTAGCAACATATAACGGCAAATTGAAATCCACCCAGCAAATTATGGGCGATAAGACCAACAAATTCTTTAGTGCCTCAAAGCTCTTCAACTGAGCAGCATTCAACGTAAATGGACCCACCACATTACGCATAGCATCTAGCGGAGCGCTAATGGTAGCTATAATGGGTACGTGATCGCGGAAAAAATTAAAAGTCCCCATATAAGATTGAACCTGCTTACCCGTAGTTGGGGGTTTCCAATCATTGATATTCACCAATTTATTGGGATCAATTCTTTTTCCATCAAGATCCACAATGAAGCCCAGCAACGCCACCTGCGTACTGTAGAACTTGCACTTGTCAAGGTTAATAATAAGCTTGGCATCAGTTAGCCGTTTAACCAACTCTATCATCTGAATCGCATGATCGCTTCTGTTCTTTGATGCGAGAAGAATGTCATCGATAAAATTTCTGACAAATTTCAAATCCCCAAGCATTCGGCTCATGCCACGCTGAAACAAACTGGACAAGGGCTTCAATCCAAAAGGAGCCTTCTTGAACATATATTGAATCCCGTTATGCATAAATGCCGTCAACGGCTGATCTTCTTCATGGATTGGTAATCGATGATACGCCTGCTTTAGGTCCACAGTCGAGAACACTGCATTGCCTCCAGCAAATTGCATGATGTCTGATATAAGTGGTACCGGAAAATTATCATCGGGTAGGTGCGCGTTTAAGGGCCGCGGATCCAAGCACACTCGGTAGAGAGTCTTGTTTCCGTTAGCATCTTTCTTAGCCGCTAGCGTTAATGTGTTGTTGTGTGCATTACCTGCAGGTGCTAATGTAATTACATCATCCTTCAGCCAATTCTGGATTGCTTCATCAAGAACCGGCATTTGCGATGCAGCAAATACTTTAGGTCTGCGGTAGAGGATAACGTCATCAGGGACTGGCAAATACACCTTCATTTCAGGTATAGTACAATGACTTGTATTTGGAATCTTGGCGTTTAACCTCAGCGACTCTTCTATACTCTTCATGAACGCGTCCTTTTCCGCAATAAATTCCTGCGTCTTTTCTCGTTCTGGAATCGTGAGAGGTATCAGCGTGGGCTTTTCGTCTTCAACTGGCGCTGGCATCCGTCCAGACGACTCATCTGCATCGGGTAGTCCAACGATATTGAATCCATAGCGGTGAAAGAGATCCATGCCAATGGTAACTGCATGACTCTGTTCAATAACCTCATATGGCGCGCTAAGCACATTCTGTCCACAGACAATCTCTACGTTTTCCGTTTCTCCAACGCGTTTAATGACAGACGAGTCAGCTAATTCAATGTATCCTTCCATTGGTTTAACCGGAATAGAATACTTTTTGACTACAGCTGCACTAATAAATGAATGTGTGGCACCAGTATCAATGAGTGCAAGATGTCGCTCTTGATTAAGATAAACAGGAACAAACAGTCGATTATCCGGCTGATGTTTTCGTTTACTTGAACCATAGTGCTTGTGTACTAACTCAAAGTCCTTCTCTCCAAAGGAGAATAATGGGTAACCATCACATGCGTCTGACACTGGGTTATCACTAATTGAAAATCTTTCGAAGGCCCTTAGGTACTCGTCGTCTACTACATCCTCGATGTTGTACTCGGCCGGTGCATTATCTCTTCCTTCTTTAACAATGCCCATAGCTCCATACTTCACCTTTGCTTGGTCGACAGCCACTTTAGCATCACCGCTACCTTCCCCCCCGTCGAGAGGATGCATCGGCAATGGACCTACATGAACTCTCATACCCAAACCGGATTCACCACGCAGTTTGCTCTTCAATTCGATTTTCGCAATACCCTTTGCATTCTTCTTTTTCTTCTTTCTCTTCTTCACTGTTTCACTCCGTGGGTTGATGTCACTGACATTCTTCTCGTCAGTTGTTGTTTCATTCACTATGACTACTTCTGTTAAACTGTGCGACTGCTCCTCCAGTTCATGTACATCAGTTTGTTGCATCTCACTGCTTGTTTCCACCTGTTTGGAATGCAGAATGAAAGACGCGTCGTTAGTCATGCGGTCATGTTCGACTTCGGTGACGTCACCATTTTCGTTACTCATCTCAACGACATCTTGGTCGACAACAGACATCTCACCACCATCTACTTCAACTTTTTCTTCAGATGCATCATCATACTCAACAGTGTGGTTTAGCTTACCATTGCTGTTTCCTCTGCCAGGATAAGGATGGTGTCCACGGTTGAAGTTCCTCTTGTAACCTCCACGACCATGACTGCCTCCTCGACCTCTAGGCGCACCAGAACCACTACCATTACCGAAGGCGCCACGTTGACCGCCGAATCCAGCATTCCCCTTCTGGACCGAACTGTCACCCGCTGTAGGAACTTGGTTGATGCTACCACCAGTAGTCCCCCCGACACGCGTTCCACTTGTCGTCGCAAGCGTTGCTGCTGCCGCTGCCCTCTTCTGCTGGTTGATGAGCTTATCCTTTAAACTCTGGGCCTGCCTCGCTGCTTCGTTATCTGCAGCCCCGGTCAATCGTCTCCTCTCCAAAATAACCGGTGCCCACTCATCACTGTCTGCGGGTCCCTGCATATGCTGCAAACTGTCCATATAAGACTCGAAGGTTGTTTCATCAGGTGCCACACCCAGCATCCCCTCAAGGACCGCAATGCGCTTCTGTAACAAGATCATCGTAAGAACGCTCGGGTCGACCGCTCTCTGCAGCAAGAATAACAAATCAGCGAACTTGGGTAAGTCCTTGACTTGGTACACATCCATCAACCTCTTCATCCGATGGTAGTACTGCTTGTACGATTCACCTCGTTCTAACCCCATCTTGATCACCTTCTCAACCTCATCTGTTCTCTCAGTCTGCGTCATAGCACTCTCCACAAACACTTTCTCGCATCTCGCCCACGGCCACTTTCCTTCAGGGTCACGACTCAAGACTGCATTCATGGCATCAGACGCTTTGCGATCCATATTCGCCAAGCACAACAACCTTGAACATCTCTCATCGAACCCGCCCGTCGTGAACTTTGTTACTCCTATTCTATGGAATTCGTACAGGAACTCTCGGACGTTGGTAATCAAGGGACCGTGGATCTTGATGTCAAGAACAGGAAGCAGATGAGCCTCGACCAACCGATGGTAACGCGGAAACTCATTCGACAACTTGATCTCGTCAATCTTTCCACCCTTCTTAACCCCCAACTCCTCATTCTCCTCTCTGGTCACAACACTAGAGAATGCCGTCCTCCCCATGGACCTCTCAGCACTCTCTAGGTCATCCAGCATGACATTCCACTCGTTCATCGCGGTCTTGGCCTCAGCGATCTGACGTGTTAGTTCCGCCAACTTTGGTCGCTCCTGGTCGCCCTCCTCTTGGCTCAACCCTTGGATGCGCGCGGCTAACTGCATCTTCTGTCTCGTCAACGTCGCCAGTTGCATCGAATACTCCTTCATCTTTCCTCTGGCTGCATGGGCATCCATAAAGTCAGAGCCAACAGTCTCCTGCATGTCAACATCAACGTCCATGCCTGCTCCCTCATCTCGTCCCGACGTCAAGGTAAGTGCATCTAACGCACCAACAACCTTATTGCCAACGTCCTCGTTCTTCTTTGCCGTATTCGCTGCCATTCTCTATGACCCAATTAAAGGAAAAGAAAACAAACAGACAAGCAGAATAAACAGAAAACGAAATGAGCTTTTGAAAACTGATGATCAACCAGACTGCACCCCAGAAAAAATAATACTGTTACTACTAACGTCAACTTCCAGTACTTTTTTGCTCAGTGATCCACTTGATTCAAAATAAAAATAAAAAACAACACCCAGAAAAAACTAAAAGTTTTCTGATGCAAATGAATTCGGATGAGGGCACACCTAAATGCCAACAAAGACGAATCCCGCGTTTATTTGAACAAGAATGTCCTTGATCAAAACTAACGGTGAGTTTTCTAATGAATCTCTGCTACCGTGTTATATGAAGACCTCAAATGACCACACAGATGTATGATCGCACTTGAAAGCTCCAACACAAAAAGGTAGAATAGTAACCAAATAATAACAACGAAAGTAACCGCCTGTTACACTTCGTATTAATGATCAGTCTCTGCTGTAACCTTGTCACTAGTGACCAGATGCACGCACGAAATGACCACAAATAAAAGAAAAGGATCCTGTCCTTGTTGGATTATCCTGAAAATAGAGAAAAATCCTGACAGTAAAGGTCCTGTTCTGTAATGATCCGTAAATGCTCCCGTTACGTCCTGAATCGCTCCTGTAGATTGATGGAGTGTTCCTCGTAATGGGTTGAATGAATAAATAAATGAGTGGATGGATCCTGTCAATCGTTGGACGGATTCTGATCCCGATCCGTGTTGTATTTATCAAAAAAAAATGAAAATTTTTACGCTAGTCACGCACAATCGAATTGATAAGACAAGAGAGGGATCTTTGTTAACAGCCCAGACACCTCCATTTATGTCGGTGTCTGGTCATATGACTAAATTACTGTCTCTAGCCTAATTACATTAGCTGACACCCCCGAGACAGGCAAATATGCGACAACAACCATTAAGGGCGCTAATTGTGGTAGTGTAGCCAAAATTGGTCAAACATACTGTGGGCGTCATCAAGATCAAGATAGAGGTCATATAAAACGTGGTAACAAGAATGCACCTGTCGTTACGCGTCCCAAGTCTTCCAAGGCTTTAAAGAAGACACATACTTCTAAGTTTGTATCATCTGATGACGATATGACTTCCGAGGATGAAGAGCCGTCCGACGATGATGATGAAGAAGATAAAATTGCCGTCTCCTTTCCGTTGAGTCCAAAGGTAGTTGACATAACGTCCAAGAAAAATGTACCACTCGCTAATACAGGCATATGGATGCGTTATGCAACTAATCCAGCTTTTCTGTATGCAAAGAACTTTACTGTAAATGGCAAGTACATTATTAAGCTGAAGGAAAAGGACCTCTACATTGTATTGTGTCCACCTGAGCTCATGGGGAAAAATCTTCCTGTACCGGAAATATCTGACAAAGAGGTACGTATATTGCAAAAGATGGGACTCCAAGAGGCAACTCCTGCAGATGTAGAAAAAATAGAAGAGTCTTCTGCTGATGAGAATTCTGAGGATGATACAGATGATGGTGATACGTCTGATGATGCTGGCTCTGACGATGATTCCCCTGATGATAAAGACTCTGATGATGGCAAGTCCAATAACAGACCTGATGTAGAATCTGGAGATGATACCTCTAAGGATAACCCTGATGAAAAACTATCTCATAAAAAGTCATCTAAGGATGATGAGAAGAAGACTTCTCGAAAGAAAAGGCATTCAGAGATGCCCAAAAATGCAGAGCCATCTTCTAATGTAGACGTTTCTAAGGATGGAAAAGATGAACATACATTTGCACTGGCCACAACGGTGCATAACATTAGATCAGAGAAAGACATAGCACGTGCGAAGGACAGAGGATGGATGATTCATCCTAATAACGACATGCTTGAGTATGCAACTAAGTTTACGATGAATGGCAAGTACATTGTCAGGCTATCTGGAAAGAATACATACGTTGGCCTGTTTACGCTTGATGCTCTGCGCGGTGTCGGTGATGTTCCAGAGTTGGATATCTTGGAACGCTCCATGCTTAGCAAGATGAAACTTCAACCATTGTCTGATGAAGAGAGAAAGACGCTTTTCAACGAGGAGATCGAAGTAGAAGAAGAAGTACCAGTAGAAGGACCAACAGATAAATCCAAGGTGATATGGAAAAAACTTAACAAGTACTTGGAATATTCCGAGAATGTACTTGTAAATGGAATGCACATTCTCAAGATGCGCAAAAAAGACACTGTAATCGGCTTGATGACTGATGACCATATTGCTGCAGAGAATGTAGAGTGTCATTCTCTTAGCCAGAAGGAAAAAGAGAAGTTGTTTGCTATGGGATTTAAACCGCATGAGCATAAGCAAAGCTTGCCACAGAAAGATGAGAGCACATGTGAGGATGATAAAGATGCTGAGGGCGATAAAGATGCTGAGGGCGATAAAGATGCTGAGGATGACAAAGATGCGGTGGGTGATAAAGATGCTGAAGATGACAAAGATGCTGAGGGTGATAACGATGCTGAGGATGACAAAGATGCTGAGGGTGATAACGATGCTGAAGATGATAAAGATGCTGAGGATGATAAAGATGCTGAGGATGTTATGTGGAAAAGGTACCCTAAAGATAAAAGCTCCTCGGGTATAATCGTCATAGATAAAGACGAAATTAAATGGACAACATGTTCGTTTGACAAGAAGCATGAATATGCAACCAACTACCTTTTCGACGGATGTCATCTGCTCAAGAGGTACGAAGAGGACATTATTGTTGGACTGCTGTATAAGATACCTGCAAACGGTGACAGTAACTATAGTCGAGACAAATTTACCAACAACAAACAAAAGCAGAAGTTAATTGCCATGGGGTTCACGATCGAGGAATTGCCTAAATTGTACTCTCCAGATGTAAAGTTTTGGTAGTTGTTGAGACAGATGAAGAGTAGATATTTTAAAAACTATCCAATTGTCAACAGTTGGCATTTGTGGTTGTATATATAGCATGAACTTTTTAAAAATGTAACATGTCTTCGACACTTCCACCTAGGAGGCCTTTCAAGTCCAAATTATCATATGGTGTTTGTTACATCTCTGCAGATCTTGACGATATCCACCGCGTCCATTAGAGGAGAGTGTATGTATGATATCAACCATTTAAAACAACCACTGTAACATTCCTTGCGCGATTATCCTACTAAACACAACTACATTCTCCAAACAACAAAGTCTTCTTATTTTTCGCACACCAAACTCTTGAATATGTCCATCTACTATTAACCTGTAACCCTCACTGCAAGATTCGACAGAGTAGTTCTTGTATGTGATCATCTAAAGCACTTGTATTCCCAACTGTATCTTTGTCGTGAAATACAGGGGAGAGATTACATTTTAAAAATTCTTGTGCTGTCTATTGCTATTTTATTCTGTGTTCTGTTGCCCACTATGAAGAGATATGCCAGTTATGGAAGTCAACACTCCGTTCCTTGGACTTTGGATATTTTTTATATGCCTTTTTATATCCTCTGCACATGAAGGGGCCGCTAAGTGGCCTTAAATGAAATGGCGCACGAGATTCGTCCTCGTCTCCGTTGAGATCTTCCTAGGTCAGCCAGGATGGGGCTCAGGGATGTTTTCCTTTTCCTCGTTCCTGATCCTGACCGCTGATGAGACAGAGATCCGAAGGTTGCATGCAACTGCTCTGGTTGAATTTCCATGTCGAAGCTGTTCTACGGCAGTCTCTTTAATGGATCGTGCAAGAGGCTTCATGTTGATTGTTTGCTGAGCTGGGAATCGTTCGAAAGGATAAAGAAGGAGGAGCTGAAGGTGGGTGAAGGGTGAATTAGAGTGATCACAAAATAAAAGAGCGACAATAAAGAGAGAATGGATCTATGATGGCGAATTAGAAAGATTGATTCAATAGACGTCACGATCTAGAAAGATCAAAGCAACGGAGTTGAGACCGTGTGGGATCAAGTCGCTGTTCTCCACATATGCTCAAAATTCGTACTTTATAATGCGCGTTCAATTTATTGCATTCTTGATACTTGTCAGGTCTTGGGTATTCGGCCCAATAATTCTTGATGAAGAGTTGGTGCTTGGTTCGTTCAATCCCGCACAACAAAATTAAGACATGCGTTCAACTCGTCGGCAGCTCTACCCCGCCATATGTTAGCCTACCTTAGGCAGACTATGTCACCGTGTACAATAAAATTGCATGATTAAGTAAAGTCAACGAGCGGTGGTTCCTATTGAAATCTTTTTCTCCCTTCTTCCTCCAAAGCTCTAACCACAATTTTGAACACCAATCCTTCCCTATCCCCATTTACTGTCGCGCCCCCTCACAATGTCTGAAGTCCCTGTTGTTTGTGATATTCTTGAAGGAACAGTTGGTGGTGACATTAATGTCATGTTCAAGTTCTTTACTGTCAAAACTAAATGCTTCTGTGGAAAGGACTTCTCCTCAAAACCCCAACTGAAGCGCCATGTTTTCGGCGCCATGGACCGACTCATATCATGCAAAGGCGAGCCGGCCTTGAGAAGCAGGCTCATGGAAGAGAGGAGTATTAAAGAACCGCTATTCGAAGCATACTTTTTGCCGCCAACAGGGGTACAGTTTAAGAAAAAAAACATTTTGATTGGAGCTGATATCATACTTCAGTTAGGTTCAAACTAAACCTCTTGAGATTTTTTTTTCCTGTTTTGTTTGTTCACACGCAGCATGAGTTTCAGATGCTCAAGGCTCAGGTCCATCGAATGATTGAGTCGCAAGAACAAGCACACAAATACTTCAAACTTCAAGAATCAAGGAAGGCCATTATGGCGCCAAAGGACGATCAAGCGCCTCCATCAGTGCACGCAACCTCCCCTCAACAAGGACAACACCCCTCCTCGCCCCTTCAAGAACACACTCCCCCGACTCAGAAGGAGCCTACCCCGTCTACATCCTCATTCCAAGAAACCTCCATCTCCCACCCTTCATCTCAGCACACCTCCCTCCCCACCCACTCAACCGACGTATCGTCTGTCAGTTCCTCTTCCACTAACTCCCCCTCCCCGTCTAGTGATGGACAAAATTCACAGCACAGTGTGATGAGTTTCTCATATCCTGTCCAAACAAGCACACCAAGAAATGGGGAACGAGCTTATTCTTCCACTGCCAGCCCCAGCCCAACTTATGAATATGTTGACTCCACTCCCACTGCCAGCCCCAGCCGATCTTCAGAAACATAACCAACAAGCAACATATAAACTTTAGTAGTAGCAATCGTAGTTCTTATTAAAAACACAATCTTTCAGCACACACGCTATTGTTTGCTTGTTCATTCGTTAACTCTCCCTCTGTTCCCCTCAGCCTCGTTCTAGTCATGGCCATGACCTGTCGCAGGAATTCCTGTTTCATCCGTAACCATACAAACAGTGAAAAATAAGGGAAGGTCTCAGCCGTACACAAGCCAAACACAGAGCACAACCAGCCAAAAAAAAATTAAGGGGAATGCATGTGCATGTCTTGGACCTACACAACCAAAACACATGGACAACAGGGTAAACAAAACAAAACAACAGAGATCCCAATCTTTATGAGACGCTCGGTCCCAAGCCATATACAATGCAAGAGAGTATTAAGTAAAGAAGAACAACCATATGCTTTGCAAGTGTGGATCGATGATGTTAGCGGCTCTTGGTTCTCATTCCTTTCTTCTCACCTCCATCTCTTATTTTCTACGCCCAATCTGCCGTGTCTTATGTATCTGTGATAACCAACACGTTGGTGTTGCTGTTGGGATGCAAACCTGGGAGAGCATGCGCTCGTAGAGGTTGATTGGGTAAATCATCGGGCACGAACCATTTTGCTCAAGAAAATGGAAGAAAGACCATGGAGGAGCAAGGAAGAAAGCAGACATACATCGCCATTAGACTTTCCATCCGCGCTTTTGCAACAAGTGTTGAAGGACTATCACACCTGCCTTATCTTGTTTAAGCCTTCAGAGGTTGTCATAGACTGTTTATGCACGCTGTCTTCGTGGTGACATTGAACTCTTATTATTTTTGGCCTTCTCTTCATCCCTCTCCCTCTCTTCTGTTCTTCTCTCTCCCTTAAGTCTCTTATTTTTATCTTGAGTTGACGATGGACCTGGTATTTTCTTGATGTTTCACACTGTTGTTTGTGGTTCAATTGATTTTTGCTTTTTTGCATAATTTCTTGGCTAAGAAAAAGGGTATGCAGATGGTCGGAATAGCTTGCCTTGTCCGTTTGTACTCTCTGCTTCATTGGAGTGCACATGCGCGAAAGAACGCGTATGGACAGGGTGAAACCTACCGGGGAATAAGAAAGGAAAGGTGATGAAAGGGAGAAGGGCAAGAGCGCCATTGTCATCAAACATGCGTACACCTCGACCCATTTGCATGGAGCTGTAACCCAAGTCTGACTTTTTGTTCCTTCCCGTATTTTAAATTGTCATACATCCATCCATCCTCCACTTTGCCTTTTGCTCTTCGAACACTCAACCCTTTTCTTTCTTTTTGCTCCTTCCTTCCCTTTCACACGCTCTCTCCCTTGTCGCTCTCTCCTTCCTCTCCCTTCACTTGTTTTTTCCTTTTCTATTTGCCTCCCTCCTCGTCAACACTCCACCATTTCTCTACTTTTGTTCAGCTTCCCTACACCCTCCTTCCCTGCTACCCCTCCTTCCCTTCCTTCCACTCCTCCTTCCCCCTTTCCCCTCCCACCACTTCATTTGTATTATCTCCTACTTTTAGATACACCGCACCCTCTGGTCACTCCTTCTTTGAGTACAAAATCAGAGAGGTCACATTTTTTTCCGTCAAGGTATGAGATAGATTGAATGCATATATATAGCCGTGTGTTTAGTTCATAATAAACTGTCTATGTTGCTTATTTTGTTCATCCAGGCATAACACATTTGACAAAGAGACAATGGAGCAAATAAGCATTGTGTGGGATCTCGAGCACAATGAAACAGTTGATTTGATTCTTTTCCCTCTTCTCTTTCTCTTTTTTCTTTTTTTATTTTCGTCTTTTTTCTTGGTCTTTTTTCTAATTTCTTATTTCTTATTTCTTATTTCTTATTTCTTATTTCATATTTCTTATTTCTTATTTCATATTTCTTATTTCTTATTTCTTATTTTCTATTTCGTACCGTGAATAAAAAGAAAGAACAAAGAAAGGGACGAGATATGAAAAAAGGCGAACCGAATGGCAATTCATACACAGTGAAGAGTTGGGAGGTAAGGTTGACTGTGTTTCGACTCGGCAAGATTGAAGTAAGAATGGGTGTAAAAAAGGCTTTTTTTTTTTGCAATGTTGCCTACGTTTGACTACAATGCCTACATTGGCTATGTGCAGATGGATGAAAATTATCCTTATAGGAGCTAAAAGGCAAGGTCTATTGGCATCAAATTCATGCATGCATGTATGTTTCACATCTGTCTCGTCCAGGGTAAAGTCCATGGCATAGGAACATAACAATAAAATTATGCTAACATCCATGTATTCTTTGCCTTCATTGCCTTCACTGCCTTTGCATGTGTTGTCTTTTTTTTTTGGATCCTTTTTTATTTTTTTTTGGCCTACATTGCCTACGTTGGCTATGTACAGATGAATGAAAATTATCCTGATGGCAGCTAGAGGGGCAAGACCTGTTGGCATTAAGATTCATGTATGCATGCATGTCTCTCATCTGTCTCATCCAGTGTGAAGTCCATGGCATGCGAATATAACAATAAAAATACGCCAGCAACCGTGTGTCCTTTGCCTTCATTGCCTTCATTGCCTTTGCATTTGTTTGTGTTTTTTTTTTTTTTTTAGGAGGGAGAGAAAGATAAAGAGAGAGAGAGAGGGAGGCAAGGAGAAAAGAGAGAAAGACAAAGACAGAGAGAGAGAGAAAGATAGAGAGAGAGAGAAAGAT